ATAGAATTTAAGGAATATTGGTAAGAAGATAAGTAAAAATAATTTGTGTAATGAGATGTACTGGTAGTCTCGAAACCCTACTCTAATACGAAAATAATTTGTGTTTAATTAATAGAATGAAGGTTGGATAGGGAGTTGAGCCGCCTACAAAAAGAAGACGACGCAACTATACTTTTCTTGTTTAGGTTCTAATCATTATCACTTCTCTGCACTTTTAGTAAACTCTTTCTCTCTCGCATTGAGACTAAAAACAAAAAATAGGCTCATCAAAAAAACCAGACGTGTATGGTTATAACCAAAATGTAGAAAGGAGGAAATAGGGGTCATCAAACCTTGATGGCCAAAAACAGACGTTCCTTTTTGCTGTCCTAATTACTTTGAGCATTCACTTAGTGTTTCGTGCATAAGCGAACACAAACAGGCACATACAAATACAGAGACAGACACACTCACACAAGTTGAAATATGACTTTAACTAACCAACTCACTTTATGCTTGATCAAAGAGGCCAGATGTAGAGTATATATACCACTTTTTAGGGATTTGCCGGTGAATTTTATTGACTCGTTAGCTTGAATTTTGTTGTGACGATGGTACCTTGCTCTGATGATGTCCGTCATATGACGGACGAAAGCCTAGCACCTTTTCACTGGAATCGAAGGAGATTGCCTCGGAAACAGCGTCAGCATGAATCTTCCAGTAAAGCCAATCGACAACTGGTCAAGAGAAATGCACCGTCGTCTCTTCACCCAACACTTTCACTCGAAATGGAAGTCAGCTCTACATTACAGGTACTGAAAGTGATTAGACATTATGTATTAATGAAATGGACGTCGCTGTTCTTTCTCATCTAGACTGGCCTGTAGATTCGTATCAGCTGCATTACTCACTCGCGTAATGATTATCAGCCAGAGTCCAACTAAGAAATGCTCAGGAGATCGGAGCGAGTTCACAATTAAGTCGTTTCTGTCTGAAAACGACCCTCGGGCAGGTGTAGCGCAGTGGATCTTGATGCAAGATGGAGAATACTGTCATAAGAAACAGAATGGTGTATTTATTTTTAGTTTGTAATTAAGATTTCGAGGCTAGCAGTAAATCAAATATATAAGATATGTTCACCATATTTCATTTGAGGCAATAAGGGGACTGATCATTGAATTTTACCATAATGGTATAAGTAAACCTTGCATTTCCATTGAATTTCCCATAGCCTTTTTCCCTAAAGGTATTATCTTCCAGGGCGGACTGCATATAACTATGGGAAAATTCAACTACCTGTCCTTCCTCCCCCTAAACGAAATAGAGTGAATACATTTCATATATCTGTTTTATTTATATGTATATAGACTAAGTTCCAAAACTATAATCAACTCTTAACAAAGAGTGTCAATTACTCCAGGTCACAAAAGGTGATGAAGGCTAGTTGAATTTTTCCACATGCATGTGAGTAGACATTACGTTTCGATTGTTTTCCAAAAAGTATTTGCATCCAGGTTGGACTTCAATTTCGACCTCACATAGGTCCCATTGTTTAATTAATTACTTAATTAATTCCATTAATTATTTTCTACTGTAGTGCATTGTATCAATTAATCGAATTAATGGTAGGCTTTGAATACTTCGTAGATGGGGCCACTATTGTGGCATCATTCTCCTTTCGCTGTATAGACTTGAGTTAACCTCGACTATGTAAATAAAAGTTGGATTTCGAGAAATGTCTTCGCTCGTAATCGCTAAGCTTGTTTACATTTTGAGCGAAAGTGTTTTATGACGAGACTCGGAGGTCTATCCTATCAGAAGACGACGAATTTTTCTTGACCAGCTGTCGAGTGGCTTTATTGGAACATTCTTATTGGTGTTGTTTCGGAGGCAATCTTCTTCGGTTTCGGTAAAAACAGGCTAATATTTTGCTATAATTAAACAACCCATTTTATACCTCATCTAAGTGCTTAGATGTAGGGCATTTATATAACATGTCACGACGTGTCAGTGGGCTTTCTCGACTGCTAACCTTGACTATGTATATAAGGATGATACCCTGCTCTGATGATGTCCATCATACAACGCACGACGGAATCGAATAAGATCGCCTCTGAAACAACGTAAAACAAGTGTGTTTCAGTGAATCCAATCAACAGCTGGTCAAGAGGAATCCGCCATCGTCTTGAGATGGGATCGACACTCGAGTATCTTCATCAAACACTTGCACTCGAAATGGAAGTAAGCTCACTAATCTCGTTTATGCAACTTTTTCATGTCGCTTAGGTGGCCTTGTCAAATATGCCTGGTCTGACGTCCTCTGGCATTAGCATATTTCGCGCAGTAGCATGTATTTGGTGCATTCCCAGACTCATGACCAGCATTGTGGCTGACGGTATCAGTGAACCTTCTCATTTCTAATACCAAGACTTGCCTTATTTGTCTGGCTGGTCCCAAGAATGTCAGGCCGAACTGACTCTACCTGCTAAACGCCTAAACATGTGTCAAGTCCACGATCCGACACTGTAAAATATAATATGGTAGCGTACAAGTTGCCTTCAGCGGGGCCATCCTGACAGCACAACCAAGCCGTATGATGGAGGTCAAACCAGATGTATAAGACATGAGTTAGTGACTTTATCTTCAACCTCATTTAGGAAACATTTAGATCCACTTTGGATAGGCAATTTTTATTAATCACTTTGGCAAGGATAAATAGCTGGTAGGGCTTTGACCTCGCTTTAGCAACCTACTGAGTTGCCAGGGTGACCTCGATGAGCACAACTTGTAGGCTTACAATGATGCTTTCGAGCGTCAACTCGAGAAATTGGTACATTTCTAGGCGTTTTGCTGATATAGTCAGTGAACCATGACATTCTTAACACCAGCCTGGCAAGACAAATAAAAATGGTATTTATGAGTAGATTTTCAACTCTGTTATTACGTCACATATATAAGATGTATTCACTCTATTTCGTTAAGGTGATGAATTTTTCCACACTAATATGAATATGCCTTACTTTTCCATTAAATTTCGCATAGTCTTGTTTACCTAAAAGTAACCTCATCCAGGCTGGACGGGACTGTACTTTCTAACTCGCCTTAGTCGCCTCGGCAACTCCAACGGGACTCGAACCATGACCGTGCAGTGCATAATGTCGAAACGCTAACCATTACAAATACAACTTGCTTCATCGGCACTTCCACCACAGAATGTATTGTGGAAAAAGTGGCTGACCTTCCTTGAAAGTGACAATCTGGCGTAGTGGTTAACGTGTCGAGATTACATGCTGCACTCTCGTGGCTCGAGTCCCACTGAGGGTGGTGATGAGACCGGCTAAGGCCTGGATAAGAATACATTTTGGAAAGCAATGCTGTATGAATTTCAATTGAAGTGTAGGGTTTACTCATGTCATTTTGGGGAAATTTGTCCACCAGTCCTTCACACCTCAACGAACTAAAAGGAATGGCAAGCTTCGTTGATGCTGCCGACTACAATAGCGGCGATACGTCTGTGAATGTACCATAAATGATGAGGGCAGACGATGCCGAACAGGGAATTTTTCTTTAGATTGCCCTAGTCTGATAAATTAGCGCAAACCGGAGTACTCCAATTCTTTACAGCGAAAGGGGACTGCGACCAAAATAGATAAAACATCATCTTAGCCTTTTAAAAGTCTATGAGAATAAGATAGGTTTCAGCCCTCACTTAAGGCATATATTGGCCTGTTTTCTCGATTTACATTTACCCAGCCTCTTTTTCCCACCTTTCCTTCGCCCCTATTCATTTTTACCTCCCTTTATTGAGTCGTCTTCCCATGCATGGTCTTCTTGTCTATTCATTTTTCCTATTTCTCACCTTTTCTGTACCATTATCTTTCCGCCATTTCCGATATTTTCGGTGCAGGTCCCTTTGCGATGAGCTGCCAACAACAGGCGCCCTACGTCATGGCCTGCCGCCATCCACCTCCTCGTCGGCTGGCGGTCAACTGACCGACTATCTAATCACTTCTCGACTTGGCCCAACAGCCTCCACTTGTGGAAGGGACGTCGAGGGGAGACCGATCTTGGCCTTCGACAGAGATTTGGCCACCGAATCACCGTTGACTGATACCACACAAGGGGCAAGCTCATCTGGCCTTACATGCCAACTAAAGTATGCTGAGCTGGAGATCT